ACTGCCTTCTGCTCAGGTCACGTTTTTCACTTTTCAACATACAGAGGACCCTGTGTTAGTCGACCCCGAACCTACTTTTGAGCGCATACTTCATGCAGCACTACTTCTGACTCACTTGCTTCCTGTAAGGGATGTGCTGCCAGCGGCAGCATCTCTCAGCAGCGTGGCTGATGCATGGGCGATGGCCTCACATTTAATGATGCTTCCCGCGTCCGAAACCACTCTTGGCTATGTACCAGGTACCAGGATAAGATTCAGTCTTTGAGAACCTTGCGCAATCGTCTGAGTATGCAATCTCATGGCTAAGACCCTCTAAGATGGCTGGACAGAAGTGCCCAAAGATGACCACAAGTTGCGTCCATCCAGACGGAGCGAGGTGGATTTCCTGGCTATCTCTCGGGCCTCTGCAGCTGTGGTGTCCTCGAGTGCTTTCAGCATCATGGCGGCAGAGGCGGCCAAGCGGATGCGCTTCGCGTCTCGCTCGCTCGCGCAGGCTGGTGGGCAGCAGCATGCCTTTTCATCTCATGGCTGCGTGCGCACCATTGGCTTCCCTCAGATGTCTTGGATGTGCTCCTCGAAAGGTACAGGTCGACTTGCTCACATGAGAACGACCTGCGCCAGAGAAAAGCGGTGCTGGCTGACACGCTTCTATTATTGGCTTGTCTCGCACCAAGTAGTCACGCTAGGCTTAGCTTCCCTGCTCAAGGGTTGAGGTCATCAGCCTGTTTCTAAGAGAAGCGGATACAATCAATTTGAACAGTACTCCTACATGCCCTGCTGGCTTGCTGCAAATGAGCATGCACACATGCACACACACACACACACACACACTCATATCATGTAAGGAACTTGATCAGACATTGAAATGCGTGATTTGCCTCTGACTCTTCTTTTTGGCTACATTATATTGACATTTAAATGCTCATCCCCCCAAGAGCGGATGCGGTTTGCATGGCTCAGCCATGCGACACACAATCCTTCTGATGTGCGCCCTCGCTGCATGGCCTTCGCAGCTGCACAAACTTCTTAGACCAGCGCCAGAACAGCAGATATGCTTTGCATTGGCAGGGCAGGCATCAACGCACAGGACTGGGGATGGGTATTGGTGTGGGCATGATGGAACGTTGCGGCCAGGCAAATGAAACCAGTTTGGATGGCATTTGCGTTGCAGGAGAACTAGAGCTCGGCAAAGGGTTCTACCCCCGACTCAGAAGCAATGCGCGCAATCTGGAGTGCAGCCAGTGCTCGGGCGGGATCCCACAAAGAGAAGGTCAACGCTCAGATTGCCAAAACGATCTGACCACATATTTGACCCATACGACAGCATCCTTGCAGCCGGTCGCTTTGGCTTTACATTGGCCCTGGCACGTTTGGTTATGCATGTATGCCATCATCAACACACTTTTTGCTTGGGCCGTCATAAACCCTCAACAAAAAAATAGACAACCATTGTAAGGGTTCCGCTTAAGTGAACCATGACCATAGGCTGTTCCAACGTGTCTTTTTTGCACTTACTCTTGCGGTAAAAGACAACGCTTGCAGCTCGTGCCGCAGCACGCGAAATGTGTCGTCAAAATCTCCGAGAGGCCACAACAGCAGTTTTTACACGAAAATATTGCTGATTGTGACTTTATTTTGCAGATGCTGGGCAATATTTTGACTAAGATGGCCTGATGTTTGCCCTTTTGTCTGATTTCGGGATGAGTTACTTCCTAGTTGACTTCATTTCTCAATTGTGCCAAAGTGCACGTCGCCCGAACAGACTCTCATGAGACTGAAGACCATGACCCAGGGTGTACACGCGGCAAGGCAGATGGTCTAGGCGAACAGGTGGTCTCGCACGGTGCACTTGTTCTGAGTGCTGGGTTAGCAAGGCCATGCTGGCCCTGGCTAGCTCTGAGAACTTCGTCCGGGGTGACATCAGCTGCTCTCTCTTGCTCAGGCCCCATCTGACGGAGCAGCTTGGGGCGGGTAGTCGGTTTGTGCTCCTGGCGCGTTAAACGCCGGATCAGATTGCAACGTACGCACAGCAATGGGTCGAGTGCTCTGGCAGCGAGAGGCCGTGTTTACAATGAGAATGGCGCAGCAGGAACAGCCCGCCCATTTGTATCAAGCCATGCTTTGCTCAGCGTACGCGTGAGGAAGTAGGCAGATTGCCGCGCAACAGATGTGAAGCAGCTACTTTCTTGGACTATGCTTTCGAAACCCATTCATGCGCGCTGCATGTGCATCGTCAGGTAGTGAAGGCCCTGCATTTCCAGGTGAATCAGCCTTCACGTGGCGTCTAAGCTGATGGTGTACGTTTTGTCGTAGGGAATGCATCTTTGCTTGCTTTGCTTCGGCACCCACTAGTCCACGAGGCTTTGTAGCAAAGAGTTGGCTCGCGCAGTTGGGTCACCATTTGTGTGGTGCAGTTTCGCGCCTTGTCATGCATGCAGCTCCATCCGTGAGCCCAAACCCCGCCGCAATGCCGCCGCTGCCAGCCCCGTCGCCGCCACCGCCAACAGCAACGACAACGACAACGACCAACAGCAGAAGCGGCAACGACAACAACGACATATTTCTGCAATGTTTCGGTTCCTTCGATTCTCGTCTATAACAATACCACATAAAACGAAGCAGAAAAAGCGTGACCGCGCGTAGCCCAAAACCATGTGCGAGCGGTGACGTCACCAGCAGCGCCAACAGATGCAGCAACAACACTGTAAACGACTTTGCGCCAATGGTCTTGGGGAAATGGCCCACCTTCAGGAAGAGCTTCCAATTGTTCCGATTCTCTTGTTTTTTTCCTTTTTCGTGGTGCTCCCAATCCAAGGTGCAGGCCAAGGGCCAACTACTTCAGCTCGGGATGGGGGAGAGGAGGTGCTCCGACATATTGGCAATTTCTTGAAAGGCAGGTGCAAGCAACCGACTGCACTGGCCATATCCATTTCAGGAGGAGTGGACTCAATGGTGTTGAGCCATTGCCTTGCCGCCTTGCGCAATGAGCTGCAACTGGAGCTCAGTGCCATTCACATCGACTACAACCTACGACCCGTGAGCGCGCTAGAGGCAGAGTTCGTGAAGGCCTGGGCAGACCGCGCCAAGGTCCCTTTGGCGATGGTTCGACTGAATGTCTCCGTGTCAGAGGATCGAAAGTCTTACGAGCAGCGGTCTCGTGGTGCCAGATATAGGGCATATCATGAGGCCATGTCTAAGGGTGCAGTTGCCGTGTTGACTGGGCACCATCGGGATGATGCCGCCGAGAATGTCTTGACAAACCTACTCACCGGCCGTAGCCTTTTTCACATCCCGGTGCTTGGGCCGGAGGCGCTGATCGAAGGTGTGACTTCGAAGAAAGACGAATCGACCGAAGCGACCTTTTGGCGTTCAAGTTGAGCTTGCCATGGTTGCTACTTAGTTAAGGTTCTAGAAGGTCGCCCTTGATTTCCGGGCCGTTGGGCAAAGGGTTCTCCACTTCAGATGGCCAACCGCCAGCAAAAGGACATGAGCTACCACTGAAATGGTCGGTATAAGTATAAGGGATATGTATTGGAGTGGAGTATGGTGAACATCCACAAACGAAGGCGAGTCTTTAATTAAGCCGAAAGATGCCGAGTGTGCATTTGGCAGCTTTTGCAGGTCAGCTGGTCTTGAAACGAACCTTTTTCACAAAAAATGGTTTTGTGAATATTGGCTTGTATGAATGACGATAGATTCAACTACACGATTACATGACCAAATCCCTGCAAATTCCGAAGGCGAGTCTTGAAAACGAAAGATTTAGAGATATTCCAGTTTCGCACCGGGTTTTGGCCGCTCAAAGGGGTCAAACGGCAAGTGAGGTGAAGATCTGGCGGCCCTTCTGCACTGTGCCGAAGAAGGCGCTCCGGGCCTTCGCGTCGAGGGAGGAGGTTCCCCACCTGCGGGACAACGACTCTCCAGGAACTCGCAGGGCAGTGCTGCGAACCCAGGCGGGGGCTGGTCGCCGTTTGCCGAAAGAGCGGTGCCTGAGAATGCCTGCTTTCCTGTTGGTCTTTCCTTCTGAAACAACATCAACCTAAGACTTTGAGAAGAGATCTTCCTGGACAAAAACATCAACCTAAGACTTTCAGAAGAGGTGCCCCATTTTCCGAGGTGATACCCAGCTTGGTGGAGGGCTTTGGGGAGAGGACCCTGAAGAACATCGTCCGAGTGGGCCAATCTGCTCAAGCGTGGAAGGAGATTGTCAACGATCATGTTCTGCTGCCACTCTGGAAGAAGACCACCTGTTTCCCCCATGGCTCGCTACTTCCGATCGCCGCGTTTGCTTCCTGGCCGGCGGCATTTTGGGAGGAAGCTTTGCTGGGCATCTTTCATGCCATGGGGCATGACATGCTCTCAAAGCGTTCAATGGACGAGCTGGTGCGGGCTCTTCACTCTGAAAAGCCCGCACTGCTGAACATCCACAAGCGTTTCATGGTTTTTGTTGACAGCCAGCGAATGGTGATCTTCAACTCGAAGCTGCTTCCAAAAAGCCCCAAAGAAATGGGCTGCTGGAGGTTAACTGTTGGACAAGCCATGCCAGGGCCAAGTCTTGCTGGGCTTTTGAATGGCACCCTCACGGTCCGATTGGCCACATGGCCATATGGAGGAGCGAGCGACCTGCCAGATGAGCTCACCGGACGTTTACCGGGGGCTAAGACCATCATGGACTCAGCCAAGATGGCTGGGGCAAGCCCTGGTGAGTCCTTCGTTGTGCAGTTGAGTGCCTCAACAGATGCGCTCGTTCTACAGCCAGCTATTGATATCTCGCAATTGCTTTCAAAGCTGCATTCAAGAAGGATTTAGGTATGAAACCCTGAGATTGCACCGTGGTTGAACCAAATGACTTGGCCCAACATGCCGCAACATACCTGGACCTGACCAGACATGAACATCCTAAGCAGAGTGTCTCAGGGAGTCATACCAAAATCCCCAGAGTATTGCGCGCTGGGGGATGCCATTGTCTCTGGACGCAGAATGAGTTGTGCCCTGGGCAGGTGCGGGCACTCAGCGGGGAATTCCGAGCATGGCTGATGCGACACGATGAGTCCCTCAAGCGCAAGGCTGGAGACAGTGTTCTGATGGCCATTGGCCAATGGCCTTTGTGAGACACATTGGTCGTATTGGTCAGACTGCTTTCAGGGCTGAATAGAAGGTTCTTCAAGAGAAAATCCGGGCGAACATGTAGACAAGCATATCTCAAAGCCTGCCTTTTACTTTGAAAGGGTTTGTCTAAGTCCCAGTTCAGAGGCTAAAGGCCTGGAATCCAGGAAATCCTGTTCTTGAAGCGGTGCCCGTACCATCAGCTTATTTTAACGCCTCCGGCTCAGACCGACATTACAGGCCTGTTTTCCTTTCCCTCCGTAAGATCTTCCCCCCTTTTCTTCCCCAACATGTTTCCCCCATTTACCCCCCTGAGACCTTTTCCCCTGTTTTTCCTTTAAGACCTTTGACCCTTGGTGCTCTTTTTTCGGGGGGGAGGGGGGGAAAAGGTCTTAGGGGGGAAAACGGGGGAAAAGATCTTCGGGGGGAAAAGGGAGGAGAAGATTTAGGGGAAAGCGGGGAGAAGATCTTGGGGGGGGAAGGGGGGGGAAGCAGGGAAGATCTTAAAAAGGAATGGGGGAAAAGATCTTAGAAAGGGAAAGAGGGAAAAGATCTTAGTGAGGAAAGGGGGAGAAGATCTTAGGGAGGGAAAGGGGGGAAAAGATCTTAGGGGGAAAGGGGGAAAGATCTTTGGGGGGGGGGAAGGGGGGGGGAAGGCAGACAGATCTTAGGGGGAAAGGTTGGAAAAGATCTCAGCGGGGGAAAAGCTTTAAGCTATTAGGATTTTGACACGTTAAGCCACTCAGATTTTCAGATTTTAAGCCCGTAAGCTTTCGTTTCCCTTCATGTCCCTTCACTCATTTCCACTCACTTCCCTTCAGTTCCCTTTATTTCCCTTCACTTGTTTTCACTTCCCTTCCTGTCCCTTTGTTTCCTTTGATTTCCCTTCAATTATGTCCTTCTGTTTTCCTTCATTTCACTTCATGTCCCTCATTTCCGTGCAGCTCCCTTCATTTCCCCACAATGTCCTTTCACCAGCGTGGGCAACATCCCCAGCATCACCTGCAGCATCCGGCTGCGGATGATGCAGGTGATGCTGGCGATGTTGAGATACTAACCGGTAAACAGGTACGGAGCGCCTGGGGAGGGGTAAGGGGAGGGGTAACAGGTAGAGAGGTAAGGAGCATGTCTTATGTCCAATATGCAGTCTGTTGTCGGCGGATTTGATTTTCATATAGCAACTAAGGCCAAACAGTCATGCGCACACACACACACACACAGGAGCCCCAAACCGTTTTCAAATTGACTGCTTTGGGGTCCTGAATAAGAGACACGGTTTTTTCCACGAGAGAACATTTGGCAATGCCAAAAGCAGAGCCGACAAGACTAAATAAGTACTGGGAATTTGAGATGAAGTTTTGGCAGTACTAAGTTTCTTGGCAATTCTAGATAAAGCAGTGGGAGAATGAGAGTAAGTCTTGGCTATGCTAAATGTAGAAAGGGCAATCCTAAATTAAGTATTGTCGAGCTTAAGTCCAACCCAGACCCCACTATTCTCAACTAAAGGGGCTTGCTTGCCTGTGTTGTGCTCCTATCAGGCAGAGCTGACTGAGAATGACACGAAAGCTGATGCTCGAGGTGTGGAACAGGCCGCTCCAACATTTTTTTGCGTGCCAGGACGTGTTTTGAATGGGGAACTGTCAGCTCCTGACACGTGAGGTCTTGGTCCTCCTGGCAAAGCAGGTAGGAAGCCAGACAGATGCTTCGACGACTTGTGTTGTTTGATTTCAGGCCGATCACTTGGCCACCATGGTGGCACATGACCTGGATCAACTTCGACAGGCATTGACGAGGCACATCTAATTTCATGTCGAGACTATGAGTCATACAAGTTTGACAGGTTCTTGGAGATCTCGCCAGACTTCCGCAAGGCATCGTTATCCATTGGCTTTGAGCCGCACGAGCAGCCCTTGCCCCGGAGAACTGGCCGAGAGAGCCCAGGACACTGCAAAACACAAGCAGACCGCAAGAAGGGCAGGAAGGCATCGAGGCGAAAAATGCAGAAAGAACATAAACATCAGAAGGCATGAGGGAGGCAGAGAGCAAGGAAGGCAAAGAGGCAATAATGAAGTGGACCAAGAAAAGCAGGAAGGGAAAAAGGAAGGAAGGAAAGAAGGAAGCAAGCAAGGAAGCAAGAAAGCAAGGAAGCAAAGCAAGGCACCAACCATCACCTACCCACCACTCACCACTCACCACTCGCCACCCACCACTCACCACTCGCCACCACCCACCACCCGCCAACCACCGCCAACCAACCACAAGCAACAAACAAAACACAGCAAAACACAACAAGCACAACAGACACAGCAAACACACACAACGAACACGACGACGACGACGACGACGACAACGACGACGACGACGACGAAGACAACAACGACAACGACAACGACAACGACAACGACAACGACAACGACAACAACAACAACAACAACAACAACAACAACAACCAACAACCAACAACAACAACAACAACAACAACAACAACAACAACAACAACAACAACAACAACAACAACAACAACAACAACAACAACAACAACAACAACAACAACAACAACAACAACAACAACAACAACAACAACAACAACAACAACAACAACAACAACAACAACAACAACAACAACAACAACAACAACAACAACAACAACAACAACAACAACAACAACAACAACAACAACAACAACAACAACAACAACAACAACAACAACAACAACAACAACAACACCAACACCAACACCAACACCAACACCAACACCAGCAGCAGCAGCAGCAGCAGCAGCAGCAGCAGCAGCAGCGACGACGACGACGACGACGACGACGACGACGACGACGACGACGACGACGACGACGACACGACGCCGCCGCCGCCGTCGACGACGACACCGACACCGACAGCAACATCAACACCAACACCAATACCAACACCAACACCAATACCAACACCCACAACGACAACCACGACGACCACGACGACGACGACGACCAACAGCAACAGCAACAGCAACAGCAACAGCAACAGCAACAGCAACAGCAACAGCAACAGCAACAGCAACAGCAACAGCAACAGCAACAGCAACGGCAACAACAATAGCAACAGCAACAGCAACAGCAACAGCAACAGCAACAGCAAGCAACAGCACCAGCACCAACAACAACAAAGACAAGAAGAACAGCTAGAGCAACAACACCAAGAGCAACAAGAGCAACACGAGCAACAAGAACAACCAGAACAACCAGAAAAACCAGAACAACAAGACAAGAACCACAAGAGCAACAACAGCAACAACAAGAACAACACAAACAACAAGAACAACACGAACAAGAAGAACTAGAACAAGAACAAGAACGAGACCAGCAGCAACAACAACCACAACGACGACGACAACCACAACAGCAACAATCATACTAATAATAATAGCTGCAGCAACAACAGCAGCGACAACAACAACAACTCAAACACCACGACTAACACGAACGACATGAACGGCATGAACAAAGCGAACCACACCAAGAGCAAGAGGAGCAATAACAGCAAGAACAACAAGACCAACAGAAGCAATAAGAGCAATAACAACAAGACCAACAGAAACAACAGAAAACAACAACACGAACACCAACTGCAAAAAGAGCCACGAGAAGAGCGAGAACAACAATGCCGGCACCAGACCCAGCGCCAACCCACCACTAGCAGCAACAACAACCACCACAACGACAACGACCTCACAAATGACAACAACAGCATCATCAAGAACAGCGAGAGCACCACCGCCAGCAGAAGCAACATGTGCAGCAACAACAGCAGCACCGGCAGCAGCAGAAGCAAAGAACAACGACAACAACGACGACGACGACGGCCGCGGCGGTGGCGACGACGACGACAACAAAAAAAAGGATAAAACAACAAGCACGAACAGCAGCAAGAGCAACCGCAGCCAACAGTACCAGCAATCGCAACGGTATTTGCAACCACAACAAACTGCAGTCTAAATGGCAACCGCAAAACAACAACCGCAATAGCAACGACAGCAGCGACAGCAGCAATAGTAGCAACAAGAGACAGAGAGACTGCAAGAGCCACATGCGCGCGCACACACACAGAGACACACACACACACACACTCACACACTCCGTGACGTAGACACACACACACACAAAAGCTGACACTTAAGCAGCGTTCTGCCAGCGTTGTAGATGCTGATGTGCGACGCACACAGAAGACATGCTTGCTTCCACCAGAACTGTTGCGGCATATATCAAAATACTCGGTTGTGCAAGCTCATGCTGGTGCTTAGGTGTGTCGCCTGCAGAGCCCTTCCCCGCAAGTGTGTCAATGATGCGGTCGCAGGCGATGGGGTTGTTCTGCCAGCGGTGATCAAGGGATGCCTTGGGTCAGGTGCAGACGGGACCATCTACAAGCTGGGGATGGAGACCACGATAACCGCTGCAGCCCTTGGGCGGCACATACCAAGATCAGCGGCCAAAGAGATCAGTTGCGCCTTTGGCCAAGGAAGAGACTCAGAGGGTACTGGCGGAGAAACTTCGATATCCTCCTACTCTGGCAATCAATGCTTATGTGGTGGGGCGTGGCCTGTTTGCAGCATGGTTGTTTTGGACTTGCTCGGCAGCAAGAAGGGTTTGAGCCTTGCCGCAAGCTTTCGGCTTTCAACCGGCCGCTGCAGAGGGCTTCCATCGACCAAATCGGAGCCAACAGGACATCGATTTGCATCCTGAGAGTGGCTAGCCCGTGAGCCATGGCACTGGCCAGCTGTTAACAAGAGCTTTCCAGGCTGGGATTTTGCGTCTTAGACAATGGAGTGTCATTTGATGACACGTTGAATATTGACTGTGGCTCGTGTCATACGCAGAGCATTTTCCAACTCTGGTCCCTTGTGAAAAGAATCCCGCAAAATGGGAAGAGCAAACTTGGAACTACAAGTGCTTTCCATTGATGTTTATCTACTTCCTTCCTAATGCAGGGCAAACCCACCTTTCAATGCTATCTATTTACTCCTGTCGTTCGCCACTCCCGCCTGTTTGGCAGGGCAGGGCCCACATGGCGTTGGCTTGGCACGGCCCTTGGTTTTGAACCTGGCCAGACGCGACTTAACAGGGTGAGTTGCTGGTTCGCCGCAGGGTGTTGTGCCAACTTGCTCGCAGCTCAGACGCTGGCTCTCAATTTCCTGGTGGCAAATGAGCTTCGCGCTGAGGTGCTGGCGCACGGCTACGAGTACATCACGCCCCAGGCGCCAGCTATGATGGCAACTTGTTCTGTCCTGCACGGCCTTCAGGTGTACCGAGCCGGAGACTTCAGGAGCCGGCCGCGACACGCTGATTCGGATCGCGCCTGGAGATGGCAGGCACTCCTTCGAAGTCCGATATGACAGTACTGTTGGTGCCTTGGCGCGCCTTTGAGACGGTCAGTTTGCTGCCGGAAACTGAGGTTTGGGCCAGTGGGAGAAATGACTTCGGACAGCTGGGAGACGGCTCTGTGGCTCACAAAACCGCACCCGTGGAGGCCTGCATCGTGTTTGGGCTGTGAACATTGTGTACGCAAGACATACTGTGGGTGTCTTCGCCCATCGTCCCCTCCAGGGGCCATCGCATGCTTGGCGTTAGGTGTTCAACAGAGCACTCCAAGCGTCAGCTGGCGAATGGTCCGCACCTTTGCTGAGCCGTGAGCCTGCAAGTTTGGATAATTTTAATCGGGATCCAAAAGGAGACGGATGAACCGCCTTGGCTTGCGGCCTGTAATGTTCATTCAGGCACAGCCTGTTCCTGCGGAATGACGGGGTGGCCGCCTCATGACGAAACGCGCAACTCGAAACGGCCTGAGACGTCAGACGAAACGGGGCGCGAGCGGTATGAGGTGGTGTTTGCCTGTGGCCGAAACGACTTCGGTCAGCTTGGCGATCGCACCAGGCGCGTTGCACCAGCTGTTCTGCATAATTCTGAGAGCGCTTCAGGGTGATTCGGAGGTATCCCACGCTGCTCCCTTAGTCGAATATGCCTTTCCATGCCTTTGCCGCCTTTGCCTGCTAGTAGTTCGCACCTCATGTTTGCAGAAAGTTGACACGCGCTGAGGCAAATCACCAAGAACATCATCAGCGTCAGTGCTGGTGGCTATCATAGCCTCTTGCTCGGGCAGGATGGGATGGCTCAGGCGCCTGTGCCCTCTTTGGTGAAATGAGATGCGCACTGTCAACAGGCCACAGGGCAAAACAGCTTCGGCCAACTTGGTGACGGCTCTTATGTCATGGCCTCAGCAGTGGGCGCAGGCACTGAGACACTTCATGCCGGAAATGCGTGAGGTCGCCAAGATACAGCCGGTGCCAGTTGAGATCTCACGGGAGCGCTGTGCATCACGTTCCAACTACAGCGAACCAGGTCTTGGACAACGTTACCGCCATTGCTGCTGGTGGTCAGCGGCTTGTTTTGCCAGCAGTAGTCAATGCGTGTGAAGAACATTGCACACGCACAGGCACACACACACACACACATACGTGCACAGGTGTATCATGCGCAGATGATGCACAGGGCAAGCGGCTCGCGATGCCTGCAGCACGCAAGCGTGCATGCGCCAGCACCCGCACACCCACTCGCACAGACACGTGCAAGCACAAGCGCAAGCAAATGCAAACACCCACACACACACACAGACCACACGTTCTGACAAGGCCAGAGTTGGGCCTTGCACCAGCACGGCAGGGTGTTTGATCTGGTTGCAATGAAGCGTGCAGTGGTGGACCTGTGAAGCCAAAGTAGTCCCAAGACGATCGGTGGCCAGCGATCCTCTGTCCACGGTGTAGATGGCAGCGCGGTTTGCTGAAAGCCTTTGAT